AAGATATGACAAAATAATAATTTATAAATTATCTAGGGTTCGTGAGGGGGGAGCGAGAATGGAGGGAAAAAATGAGGAGTTGATGCCAGGGACTTAAGTGGAGAGCAAATGTTTTGAGAATGATGAGGGCAATGAATGTACAAATGTGCTTCACACAATTGATGTATGTATGGATTGTGATATGAGCCCCTAATAAAACGATTAAAAAAAAAGCAGGGTGAGGGAAGGGATACAGGGGAGCTGATATCTGAATTACGGATTGTTATAATAACTGTAAGAACGCCCAATAAATGATTAATTTTTTAAAAATCATTGCACATCTATGTGGTAATTCGAATTATAAAAGAATGGGTTTATGCTAAAAAAACTAGTCTTCCGAGTCATATCATGCACCCCTTCCTCAAATGTCGAGGCTTGAAACAACAAAGATGGTAATATTTTTACAAATGACCGTCCTAGCCGGAGCCGCAGACAGCCACTCCGCCCTCCCCTCCGGGTTGGCTGGCAGAGGGATGGTCCCTCGGAGACGCCCCCCGGGTCCGAGCCCCGTGGCCCGCGCCCACACCGCGGCATCCCTCAGCCACGGGAGCGCGGCGCCCCCTCGCGACCGCCTCCGGACGGCGGTCGTGCAGACGGCTCCCCAGCCGGCCGACGAGGTGGGCGGAGCTAACACCGAAGCAGCTGCGCGTGGCCTCCAATCGGAAGCGATACTGGGCGTAACCCTCGGAGACGCAACTCCTCGCCCCCTTACGGTGGGCGGGGTTGGAGAGCTGCTACCTCCTCCCCGGGCCATGATTGGTTAGCGTCTTCTGTACGTGGTGACGTAGGACGTGGGTGGAACTTGTCGGAGAAGAGCGCGGGAACAGAAAAGCTGGGAGGTGGGGGACTTCCTGGAAAGGTTCCGCTCTCGTCCCGCTTCCCGGTGGTCTTGGGGAGAGCCCAGCCTGCTTCCCCGCGGGCCCCGCCCTGGCCACCAGCTGGCCTAAAGCGCCTGTCTGCCTTTCGGTACCTGGAGTACGAGGGGGCACCTGAGTAGGACCTCCGGTACGGTGTGAGTACGCGTGCGCGTGTGGGAGGTGGGTGGGTGGTCCGCCACGGGCGGAGGAGAGGGTCGTGGGGGCGGAGGGGGGCGGGGTGTGTAATAGGTTCGCTTCCCTACCTGGGAGATACTCCCCTTCCCCCACCCACGGGACAACTTCCTAAACTAGGATGGTGCCCGCGGCCTGCCGCCGCGGCGGTGGTGGTACTGATTAGGGGCTGCGGAGTAGGTTCTGACTCACTGGACCCCGTGCATTACAGAAGGAAACACGCCTGGGCCCGCGCGATCCTCACAGTTGTTATGTTGGAGCCCATTGTTGCAGCCGCTGTGTCAGCCCATCTTATCGAGGGTCTTCCCACTTCTCGCTGACCCTCTCACTTTACCAAGCTTGTTGTCCTCTCGCACTGGTTCCGTCCGATAACGTCCAGAGCAAGTCAGATGAAGTCTTGCTTTCCAGCTGTGCATCTCTCAGGACAGCCAGACTTGGGTTGTGTTTTTGGCAGCTCATGGTACTTTAAATATTCTTTGCCAGCACCGTAATTCAGATGCATAAATTCTTCTTCTGTCTTCCTTATTCATTTCCAGGTCTGATTTAAAGAAGCAAATGCACTACCAACCCATAGCAACCCTATAGGACAAGGTAGAACTGCCCCCGGTGAGCTTTCTGAGACTGTAATTCTTAGTGGGTGTAGAAAGTCCCGGCTGGTGGTTTCAAACTGCTGACCTTGGGGATCGCAGCCCAATGCATAACCACTAAGCCACCAAGGCGCCTGCTTTCCCTCTGATCTCTCTAGTAAATTAATCCACTACCACCGAGCCCATTCTGCCTCATAACGATCTTAAGTGGGATTTCCAAGAGAGGAGCAGACAACCTTTTCTTTACCCTGCGGAGCACTAATGGGCTGACCCCTTGAGCTTGCTGTTTTGGAAGCTGCAACACCTAACCCACAGCCCACAAGTGCCTGCTTTACAGCAAGCCTGGTGCCATGTCCACGGTCCATATAGATGATGGATCTCCAGCGCTTAAAAGTGCCGGGCACTGAACAATGCATTATTCCAATTTGAAGTGAGTATAGCCCAAGGCAGAGGTGCTCTCCTGGGCCTGACAGTTGAGAGACAGTAATCCCGATAAGAGTGTGGTAGGTGCCGATTTGAAGTGTACACAGTGGAAACATGTCAAGAGGCACCTCTGAGAAACTGATACCTGACCTAAACTTTGAAGGAAGAAACAAAGAGTTGCAAAATCAAACTCTGAGTGCTGAAGTAACTGTCAAAGAAACTCCTCGTACAACGGTTCCTTTGTGTGCAGCATCATTGCCTGTGCTGCTGACCACAAAGCCAGCATTCGAAACCACAGGCCCCTCCACAGGGCGAAGAGGAAGTTTTCTGCCCCTTAAAGATGTATATTCTCTGGCAGCCCAGGGCCAGCTCTACTCTGCTCTGTAGGGGCGGTGTGAGTCACGTGACTTGACAACAGTGAGTTTGATCCCTTCTCTGGCTTTGTTTTCTCACAATAAGGAACCCTGGTGGCACAGTGGTTAAGGATTAGCCTACTAACCGTAAGGTCGGTGGTTTGAACCCACCACATGGTGGTCTGCTTCCATCAAGGTATACAGCCTTGGAAACCCGATGGAGCAGTTCTAGTCTGTCTTTTAGGGACACGGAGTTAGAATTGACTCCAGGGCAGTGGGTATTCTTGTAAATAAATGGAAACAAATTGCAGGATTTGGACCGGTTTAGTCTCATTAGAGCTCTTGGTTTCAGAGACAATGGCAGAGCAATTGGATCTCGCGGGACAGGAATCTGATGGGGCGAGTGATGAGGTGGTACTCACTCCTGCGGAACTCATCGACAGGCTGGAGCAGGTAAGCACTCCCAGCAGAATCCTCTTTGGCCAAGCTTCGCCTTTTGTGTGACGGCATAAATTTCAGCACTCAGGAAATGAAGACATGACGTTCGAGGTTTATTTCAAGAGAACAGGACTGGTTCTTACTACGTACACAGAATAGAAAGTATAGGGTCATCATCTGTTGAAGACCCTATAATGTTAAAAACCCAATTCTCAAGTGGTGCCAGAAAGGAGCAGCTTGGAATCCGTTTCATAGTATAGCTCATTTGTGTGGCTCTTGAAGGATCTCCTTATGTCTGTGGAGTCTGCAGAGGTCATGCATGGTGGGGCCTCGAAGGTTCTCTACCTTAGTCCTTTGAAACATCTGCCATTTCTCTGAGAGGCCTGTATTTCTTTCTTTTTTTTCTTTAAGAAGTAGATCTCAAATGATTTAAAAAAAAAAAATAGATCTCCAGGTCTTTCTTCCAGAGCACCTCTGGGTGCACTTGAACAACCAACTTTTCAGTGAACAGCTGTGTATTTTTTTAAAAATCATTTTATTGGGGGCTCAGACAGTTCTTATCACAATCCACACATACATCCATTGTGTCAAGCACATTTGTACATATGTTGCCATCATCATTTTGAAAACATGTTCTTTCTACTTGAGCCATTGGTATCAGCTCACTTTACCCCCTCCCCCCCTCCATTGTGAACCCTTGATAATTTTTTTTTTAAGTTCATGTTTTATGCTAACTGCTGTCTCCCTTCACCCACTTTTCTGTTGTCCATCCCCCTGAGAAGGAGTTATATGTAAATCATTGTGATCCATTCCTCCTGTCTCCCCACCCTCCATTGTCCCCTTCCCCTCCTGGTATCACTACTCTTATTATTGGTCCCGAGGGGTTTATCTGTCCTGGATTCCTTGTGTTGTGAGCTCTTTTCTGTACCAGTGTACATGCTCTGGTCTAGCTGGACTTGTAAGGTAGAATTGGGGTCATGATAGTGGTTGGGAGGAAACATTAAAGAACTAGAGGAAAGTTGTATGTTTCATTGGTGCTATACTGCACCCTGACTTGTTCATTTCTTCATTGTGACCTTTTTGTAAGGGGATGTCCAATTATCTACAGGTGGGTTTTGGGTCTCCACTACAGGCTCCCCCTCATTCACATCGATATGATTTTTTTCTGGGTCTTTTTTGCCTGATCCAATTGACACCTCATGATCACACAGAGTGGTGTGTTCTCCCATGTGGGCTTTGTTGCTTCTGAGCTAGATGACCGCTTGTTTATCTTCAAGCCTTTAAGACCCCAGACACTATTTCTTTTGATAGCTGGGCACCATCAGCTTTCTTCACCACATTTGCTTATGCACACGTTCTTGTCTTCAGTGATCGTGTTGGGAAGGTGAGTATCACAGAATGCCTGGTCAGTAGAACAAATGTTCTTGCATTGAGGGAGGACTTGAGTGGAAGTCCAGTGTCTCAAGCAGCTGTGTATTTTAACCATTTGCACCACTCAGGGACTCTTTTGGTCATAACAACTGTGATATAGTATTTCCTATGTACTAGGAACTGTTAAGTTCCTACCGTGATGATTTGATGAGACAGATAATATAATTCTTGTGATTTCAGAGTTCAGATGATCTATATTTAATTCCCTTCATGCCAATAGTCTCCTATGTAACTTTAAGTTATGTAGCTTGCCTGAGGACTTACCTGAAAAGTAGAGATAATAGTGGCCATTACGTTACGGTTCTTGTGAGGGTTCAGTGAAATGATGTAAAGCACCCAGCACGTGGTCTGACACAGGAGCCCTCACTAAATGTGAGCTACCAGCAGTACCAGTCACTGTAACATCCCTATGAGGCAAGTGTTGTTGTCATCCTCGTTGTGGACGTGAAGAAACTGAAGCTAGAGATGCAGAGTAGCTTGCCCACAGTTACACCATGAGGAGCACAGCCAGGCTATGAATTCAAATCTTTGACTCCTAAAATTCTGTTCTCTTACCTGCCATACCTACTGCCTTACTCCTGCTCTAATGGCCTTTCTCCAGACCACACTCCTGTCTGCTTTTTCAGCCTCTTCATTCTTTCCTACTTATGTTCCATCATACGTGACACAGCCAAAGGAATACACTTTTAAAATTGTATCTTAGGTAATCAATTAGGTCACGTGGCTTCTTAATCTGTTTCGCTATCACAGTCCTCTGGGAGACTCCGATGAAAACTCTGGCTCTCTGAGAATGGTGCTCATGCACGCCCACACAGAATACTGCACGCCATTGCAGGGGCTTCACAGACACCTAGAGGTCTCCCCACAGACATAATCTGGGCCCCAGTCAAGGACCGCTGCGTCTAAGAAAGGACTCATTGAACAAGAATCACAAAACTTAAAGGAAAAAAACTGGTAGAGTCAACCACGTTAAAATGAAGAGTTTCTGTTTATTGAAAGATAATGTAATGAAAGTAAAAAGATAAGCCCGCAAACTAGGAGAGGATGTTTGCAATATATATCGTTAACGAGAGATTAATATCCACACTATGTAAACAGCCCTTCTGACCCAATAGTAAAATAAAGCCCTAACATGCATCTTCTAGAAGAGAAAGTCAGGGTGGCCAGCAAGTATATGAAACCATGTTGCATCTTTTTAGTAGTCAGGAAAATTAAACTCACAGTTATATTTCATGTCTACCAGATTGGCAGAAATGCAAGAAGTGAACAGTATGAAGCATTGACATATATTGAACACTATGCAGTCGAGGTGTAAATTAGTCCAGTCACTGTGGGAAGTGATTGGTTTTGTCTAGTAAAGGGCCCAGTCATTCCATTCTAAGAACATACCTGCACATAACTTTCTACTTGCCTTCCAGGAGACACGCATACATAGTATTCGTAGACATCGTGTTCATAGGATTGATTGCAGTAGGTAGTTAAAAACTGAAGCCAACCCAGATATCTGTTAGCAATTGAATGGATAAAAATTTTTTTTAAATAAATCATTTTATTGGGGGCTTTTAAAGCTCTTACAACAATCCATCCATCAATTACATCAAGCACATTTGTACACATGTTGCCACCATCATTTCCAAACATTTTCTTTCTACTTGAGCCCTTTGTATCAGCTCCTTTTTTTTTTTAATTGGAGGCTCATACAACTCTTTTTTTTCTTTGCTCGTACAACTCTTATCACAATCCATACATCCATCCATTGTGTCGAGCACATTTGTACATTTGTTGCCTCATCATTCTCAAAACATTTGCTTTCTACTTGAGCCCTTGGTATCAGCTCCTCATTTTCCCCCTCCCTTCC